GAGAGAGAAGCCCCTTCAACCAGTCTCCTCATGCCATGATCCCCTTTTCCAAGCCCTCCAGTTCATCAGAATCTTGGGCATGCACACATGCACCTGGCTAACTTAGGACTCAAATCAGACCTATAGCTTCCAGCACTGTAGTTAGGCTTGCTACTGACTGCATGATGAAGCAGGGCCTCATTCTCCCCTTTTCCTTCCTTCCTTCTCACTCTCTTCTTATTCTTTCCGTTTTTTCCATTCTTTCCTTCTTTCCTCCCTTCCTTCCATCTTCTGTAAGAGTGACAGAGAGAGAGAGAGAGAAAGAGAGAGAGAAGCACCTCTAACAGTGTCTACAAGGTGTTTCTCTTCTGGCCTTCCCAGCCAGCCAGGATCATAGACACACATGCTTGGCAAGAACAGACCTGGTGAGGAACCAAGTTCATAATCTTCCTAATGGGTCCAGCTACTGTTTCACCACTGCAACTGGCCCAATCTTTCACTGTTTTGGTACACTTTTTAATCTAACAGATCTCCAAAAGCAGAGTCCATTTCAAATTACCCCAATAAAGCATTGCTTCCTTGTGTCCATGTCTGCTTCCCAGGCTTTATGAGTCTTTTACAGCTCATCAAGGGGTCCACAGTTGTTTCCAAAGGTAGCAGCGTCTCCCACACAGAGTCTTTCCCTTGGTCCTTCTCAGTTGCTCCATCTGACAAATAGCCACAGCCTCGAATATATTCTCTCAGCTATTCAGCAGAAACTCTCAAATTAACCCGTCATACACATCGATTATTCTGTTTCCACTTAATAGAAAGTGAATGCAGGAGAGTTTGGCTTCACTTGCACGTGTTTGATCCAGAAATGAAGAGATTTTTCCCATATGCATTATCACAATATTTGCCTGAAGGACACAGACAAAATTTAGTGCCACTTGTTGCAATCTAGACTTGTTAATTAATGTTTCATTTTCCTTATAGTATCTATATTATTCAAGCTAGGCAATAATTAATGCAATGTATTTAAATCAGAAATCTAAGCAAACACAACATTCTTTTTAGACAAGCAAGTCTAAAGTGAAAAAGATTTCTGATTGTATCTTTCAAGGCTGGGTTATCCTTTCAGTCTCACAAACGCTGCTGTCCTAAGACTGGGAAGGGAGCTGGGGCTTAGAAGACATCATTCCAAGATTCACTTTCTTTCTGGCTTTTTTTTTTTTTTTTAAGAGAGAATTTTGCTATAGGGAACATGAGTTCACCAGAGAGACAGAGAGAGACAGAAAGTAAGAACTTACTGCCCCCAGCAGTGATGACCACACTGCAATTCCTTCTCTAGTCTCCTTTTTAAATTTAGGGCATGAATGTACATACACCTGAAGTGAGTTTTAAGTTGCCAGGTTCGGGATTGAACTGTGGTCAACTGTGACCATTACACCATCTGCTGGTCTCAAGGCTCAGTTTCTTTCGAAGATTGTTTATTCAAATATGAAGTCAGAAGGACACATACAGTGCCATACTCTGTGCTCCCTTACCCTATCAGTAAATACATAATTCACAGATGTATCAGAAGGAAGTCTTCTTTCTACCCATATTTTCACTTTCTGAACATGGCTAATATGCCTAGATAACTACATTCATTTAGGTTGATATTTGAAAATGCCATCAGACCTTCAGAGTGTAAAGGATCTTTCACAGTGTACAGAAATATACAGAGAAATAGATTTATTTTTGACCAATTAGTATGGTTAGTTATCTCACATAATACAGGATCTCACTAGGTGTATGTGCCTCTTTAAAAGTCATTTGTGGTAAGAGTAAAAATACTGGAATCCTGAGTTTTATATGCATGTTTAGCCCATGGCAAATAAACTCCCCTAAAAATCTGTTCAAGTAGAAAAGTGAAATTTTGTAATTAACTTACCCTAATAAGTATAAAAACATGACTGAAAAACATCTAGAAATTGTTCATTGCTCATAAAAATTTGAAAACGTATTAATTGTATATAAAAACAAATAAGCACAAACTTTCTGTTAGAAGAATTTAAATTCAGTACAATTTAATTTACGGCAATATCACTACCAAAAGCTACTTAGCAAATACTAAAGTTTGGAATTTTTCCATACACATCAGCCCTTTCAGAGTTCGTTTACCTGGAAGTGCTCCAATACACTCACAAGATGGTTTAACAATTAGCTGCACCCAGAAGAGACATGGAGAGAAGAGTGAGTTATAAGAGAAATGACCACAAGACCATAACTGAACAGATTGAATTTTCTCTGTCATGTCAGTAAAAACAGCCAATTTTCTTGGGGGGAGCTATGACACAAGCTTTGAAATCTATTCCTAAACTAGATGAGCTTTTCTCTTTTTTTTTTTTTTTTTTTTTTTTTTTTTCTTGTCATTTTATTGTCATAGGGTGTGTGCATTTGCCAGAGAGAAGAGAGAGAGAAAGTGAGAAATCAGCTCCCCCGCCCCCAAGGAGGGATGGTCAAGCCACATCCCCTTCTTCATTATTCTCTTGAGATTTTGGGCACATATACACACATGCCCTCTGTGATTTTCAAACTGAGTCTGGAACTTGAACCATCAGCCATTCCAACCATGTGGGAATCCAGCATCGTAACTATCACACCACCTGCAGGCTCCTGAGAGATAACTTCTTAATAGAAAAGGTGGCAGGACAGTGTTTTACAATAACTATATTCCGAAAAACAGCTTAAACTTTTAATTTTAGAGAAACAGAACTTCAGAGAACATGTGTGTGAATGAATATTGAAAGGGTGGGATAATAATAGAAGGAACAAAGTTGGATCAGACTGAATAGCCTGATCTACAGGAAAATGAAATTGCAGATTTCTTCAAAGTTGTCCTCTAATAAATCCATTTCTCAAAATACTTGTGAAAAACACGTCATATGGACACTCTCTGTGTGGACAAGTGGGTTTTTACATTGACAAATTTACTCTAGTATTTCAAATGTCCTGAACTTCCTAATAGGCTGAATAGTCTTTTGCATTATTTTTTTCTGACACAGAAGAGATGAACATACATGCACATGGGCCCGGTGTTATTTTCAAACCACCAGATCTGGGTTGGAAGAGTGGTTGACCATGTGGGAGTCCAGCACCTTAATCATCATGCTACCTCCTGGCCATATTATTTTGATTTTTAATAGTAGACCCATGGTCACCAGCAGGTGGTGTGGTGGTTAAGGCACTGGACTCTGACAAGGACAACTTCAGTTTGAGTCCTACACCAGCAGCTTGCTTTCTCCCTTTCTCTCTCTTGTTCTCTCTGTGAGCACATATGCCCTATTGCAAATTAAAATAATAATAATAATAATAATAAAGTAGTGAACCCATGTAGTGATATTATAGCTTATTGTATTGAGACAATAAAATTTGTTGCTTTAATAAAATATTCACTATCAAATCTTTTACGAAAATTACTTGCAGACCCCTTGCATAGAACAATAAAAATCACTTTATGCAAATATGTACACATATTTTTTATTTCTTTTGCATAAGTTCATAAATATGAGGTTCTCTGCTCTGTAAGTAAAAACTCGATAAGGCACTTTTTGTTTGCTTCTTTGTTTTTTTGTTTGTTTGTTTGTTTTGGCCAGAGAGCATGTGCATTCATTCTCCAGAGACAGAAAGAAACAAAGAGAGGGAAATCAGAAGTCATCCCCCCAGGGTGATGGCCATGCCATAATCCCTTTTCCTTTATTCTCCTTCTGGAATTTTGAGCACACACTTATACATGCCCAACATGATTTCAAACTGCCTGGTCTTGTACTCGAACCTCATTTGGCCATATGGGAGTCCAGAGCCTTCACCACAAAGCCACTGACACCATAAAGTGCTTTTAATATACATTTTTAAACTTTTTTCTCAACGTAATTTTTTTAAAAAAGTTTTTCTTTTTATATTTTTTTCATATTCTTAGTCTTTTGTTATTTTCATTGCATTGATTCTAGCCTAATAAGTACCTATTAGCATAAGACAAATTTTTTTACTGTAATACCTGATAATACTAGTAAAATAATTAATTATGAGTTATTTATATATACATGACTTAATGCACTATATTATCTGCCATTTTGTCATTTTTATCTAAAAATCACTATTTCCTCTCAGATTATTTATCTGAGAATATTTATTGTTCTTTTTGTTTTTATTAATAAAATCCTCTGACATTTTCTTCTGATATATCAATGGAATTTTTTTTTATTATTCTGACATAATTCTAAGTACAATTAAATATTATAAATTAAAAATAGATCTAATAAGGATACATCTGGTGGTTGACATTGTTCATGGATCCCATTGAAATTACTAACTATGTGTGTCACCAATGAATAAATTAAAAGTATTAACATTTAATTAGAGTCTAATAATATAGTAAAATTTGATACATTATACAAATGGATTAGGCTTTAAAATTATGACATTTGAGGACTAAAATCAGAGGGCAAAGCTATGGTAATTAGGATTTGAATTAATTTAAAATAGAGTTCATTTTGTTTTTTTCTTTTTTTTATTTTCATTGCATGCTTCATTTTAAAATTTTGAATTCATAATAGTAAAGTTGCACAGCATTTGCAGATATTTCCAGAGCAAATGAAATAATTATTTCATGTTGTTTCTTCTTACAGCTTTATGAGATAGTCATGCTTTTGCATAACTACTAAGTTACAATTTGCTACACTTTTATTTCAGGAAACTTCTATATAGATCATTAAATCTAAGTAATATTTCAATAAATAAAATTCAGCTTTTAAAATGCATGGCAAGATAAATAAATTAAACTATGGTAAATTATAATTATTGCCAGGCTCATCAAGTGTCTTATCAAAACTGCAGACTGTTATTTGTCCATCTGGTATTTTCTAGTCTTTGAGGTAAGAACCTTCACAAATTGTATTTGTATCATTTAGTAAAAGCCATTGGGGTTCAATTTTTCTTATTGTCCAGGTTTCAAACCTAGAGGTATAACTGAGCTTCCATTTCGTTTATTCACTCAGCTATATATTTAGTGAACTATTCTATGAAGACAACGTTCCAAACAACGTTCGGCATCAGTAACACAAAAGTGGACAACAGCAGGTATGAACATGTTCACCTGAGCATCTTGTGCAGAGACAGCATTTTCACTGCTGTGGTTCTTGAAGTACAAGAACACTTCATTCAGTAGAATGGGGGAGACAAGGAGGGGACATTATGCTGAGGAGGAAGAAAACCGAGAGTTTACACCAAAGTAGACTATACTCCTACATTTGAGTTCTATCTGGAAATGTCTACCTCAATTACCTAGGTGTTCTTTACTTGCTATATAATTCTTTTTTTTTTTTTTTTTGGAGAGGTGTTTGCTATAGGGCGCATGCGCTCGCCAGACAGACAGAGAGGGACAGAGAGACAGAAAGCGAGAAATCACCCCCCAGGGGGGATGGTCACGCCGCAATCCCTTCTCCTCTATTCTCCTCTCAGGATCTTGGGCACGCACGCACACGTGCCCGGCGTGAGTTTTAAGCCACCGGGTCCAGGCCACGAACCGCAGTCGACTACGTGGGAGTCCAGCGACATAGCCATTACGCTAACTGCTGGTTCCCCTAGATAGTTCTTTTGCCACTGGTTTACCAACTCTCTTCAGAGGGTTTATCTGTAATTTCCATGCAGCTTGGCTCTTCTGCAATTGCACTTCTGCTTTTAGATATGTTATAACTGCACATTGGGAAAAAGCTCTAGATAACCATGTCATGATTTAAGCCTAAGGCAGTAACAACTGTGAAAATCTGATACACATATACACGAATGGACCCTGATACCACATGTTGATGAACAAGAATAAGATATAGTTGAGTACTTGTTAACTAATATGAATTTTGAAAACAAAGTCAAGAGGATACTGCCTTGGCCTACTTTGCTGCCCCTGAGTTGGAGGGAGCACTTCACCTTGGCTGTGCCTTCTGTTGCTGAGCACCGCATTTCATAATTCTCCTCTCAACAGAGACAGGCTTGAATTACATCTTTCATTAAGTGATTTCTAGGCCTAAAGCTCCATGAAACAAGCTAAACCTGTTTAAAAATTTGTACAGCGTGTGCGTGTTCGAATGTCCTGAAATTACTAGTTACATTACTATGGTCAATTATACTTGGCAATTGTGCTTAATTGAAGATGAAAGCACATTAGGTTTTTAATATAAAAGCCATAGGTAAAACCACTCAAAAAATCCTATTTGAATCACAGACCTGGTGATGTTTCTCTCTGTATGATGAGGTTTTATGGTACATTAAGCTGTTCATTCATGTAATTAGAACAATAACAGGATGAGCTGTCGTACAGGAGGATTCGTGATAGCATTTCCCATTTATCTTTACTGTGAAGTAGATCATGAACATGAAATCACCTTTGAGTACCTCCAGTAAAGTGTATTCTTTTTATTTTAATTTTAGCAGAGGGTGTGGGCACTCACCAGAGAGAGACAGAGAGAAAGTGGTTCGAATGTCCTGAAATTACTAGTTACATTACTATGGTCAATTATACTTGGCAATTGTGCTTAATTGAAGATGAAAGCACATTAGGTTTTTAATATAAAAGCCATAGGTAAAACCACTCAAAAAATCCTATTTGAATCACAGACCTGGTGATGTTTCTCTCTGTATGATGAGGTTTTATGGTACATTAAGCTGTTCATTCATGTAATTAGAACAATAACAGGATGAGCTGTCGTACAGGAGGATTCGTGATAGCATTTCCCATTTATCTTTACTGTGAAGTAGATCATGAACATGAAATCACCTTTGAGTACCTCCAGTAAAGTGTATTCTTTTTATTTTAATTTTAGCAGAGGGTGTGGGCACTCACCAGAGAGAGACAGAGAGAAAGTGAGAAATCACCCCCATGAGGCATGGTCATGCCACAGTCAATTCTCCTCCACCTTTCTCCTTTCAGGATTTTGGACATGTAAGCACATGTGTCTGGCATGTTGTCCAAGCTGCTGGGTCAGAGATTCCAAGTATGTGGTCAGCTGTGTAGGATCCAGCCACCTCAACTACCGTGCCACAACTGACCTCGAAAATTCATCTTAAAGATGTCTAAGTAAGGCAATAGTCTTCTCCTTTTGCCCACTTCCAATAAGATGACTGATGATTACACAAGCCATCAAACTTGCAAAGATGGAAATGTTAGCCTTTGAAGACGGCTTTCCTTGGTCCCTGCAGCTCTACATTCCCACAACTTCCCACCTCCTGCTTCTCACACAGTCCTCATTCCCACTCTCCAACACTGCCATCCACCTGGGCAGGTTTCTGGCCCAAGTCTTGGTTCCCACACATTCATCTTTTCACTGTTGATAGATCGTCTTTACCACTTCATATTCTATTTTTAGTCCTATTATTAAATAAAGCTGCTCTAACCTCCTTCTGACTTTAGACTAACCCCAAATTCTTAGCATCACCTCCTAGCTATAATCTCTTTTTTTTTCTTAGTCATCTCTCACAAGCCTTATGTTTAAACTATGATTTTGTAATAATTCTGAAGTGTTGGCCATTACCAACCCTAGCTCTGCATATCATGAAGAACACGTGGACTCCTCACTGCAATACTTACTTTTATACTTGATATGACAGTAAGATCCAGGGGAAACTCATCTTCATACTTAAACTCAGCACTGGAAGAATCCATGATGTCTCTTCCCTCCAGTCAACCCTCTTACATTTACCTGCACTATCTGAATAAAAGTGAAGATGACTACATGTCAAAGCTTTCTTTGTTTGCCCTTTACATTAGATACATGAACTGGACACAGGTGGAAGAAGTTCCTCAGATTCTTGGCAGCTAAAATAAGTGCACACTTCATTTACATGTTTTTTGTCTATATTCTTCTCATATGAATACACAGGAGGACAAAATGGCTTGGTAATTCAACACACTAATCTTATTTCTCATTTGTACTACACTTCAATGATGATAATTTGTCTCACCTGAGTAGCAGCCCAAGTGGGTGTTAAAGTCTCCTTTATATCTCTGTCTTCAGTTTTCTAACATGTCCCTTCTGTGGTTACCATAAAATGGGGGGGGGGAATAGGACCAGCAGTTAGCATAATGGCTTTGTTGTTGGACTCCCATGTAGGTGACTGTGTATCGAGTCCCAGACTTGGTGGCTTAAAACTCATGCCAGGCACGTGTGTGTGTGTGCCCAAGATCTTGAGAGGAGCATGGAGGATAAGGGATTGCAGCATGGCCATCCCCCATGGGGGGTGCTTTCTCGCTTTCTGTCTCTCTGTCTCTCTCTGTTTGGCAAGCGCACGTGCCTTATAGCAAAAACCTCTCCCCCCCCAAAAAAAAAAACTATATAGAGTACCTGTGAACCACTGGAAATTTCAGACTGAATCAGCATATTCTTTTTTTTTTGGAGAGGTTTTTGCTATAAGGCACGTGCGCTTGCCAAACAGAGAGAGACAGAGAGACAGAAAGCGAGAAATCACCCCCCATGGGGGATGGCCATGCCACAATCCCTTCTCTGCCATTACCCTCTTGGGATCTTGGGCACGCACGCACACACGCCCGGCGTGAGTTCTAAGCCACCGGGTCCGGGACGCGAACCACGGTCGACTACGTGGGAGTCCAGCGACATAGCCATTACGCTAACTGCTGGTCTCCTGAATCAGTATATTCTATTGTGAAGATTCTGCATTCATAATATACGACTGATATAATAGGCAAATCTATTACATAGACACTGACACAAAGAAAATTCTATTGGCTTAAAAATTTCCCACCATTCCTATGGACAAATTACCACAAGCTTAAAACAAAAATAAAGATTTATTACCTCAAACATCAAAGCTGGGTTCTCTACTCTACTGGTTGGTACTCTACTCTGTATTTCTAAAGGACAAAACCAAGGGGGCAGCTGGCTAGCTCTTTATGAAGAGGCTCTGGGAAGAGCTGAATTAAACTCATTAGAATTGTTCATCAAATTTAGTTCCTGGTGGTGGTGGGACTGAAGTCCCTCCTTCCTTAGTGAGTGATGGCTAGGAGTTCTTCTCAGCTTCTGGAGACCACTCATTGTCTCACACTGCAAGACTCTTACCTCCCTTCCTGACTCATGTCTTTTACCTTCATTTTTTGATACACATACCCCACCCCCGTCAAAGAAAAATGATCTACCTTTTAAGGCTTATGTTATTAATTTAGACATAGGTAGATAATTCTCAATAATCTCTGTATTTTAAAGAGAACTGATTAATAACTTTAATTATATCTGCAGACTCCCTTGAGAGCAGGACTTAGATTAGTGCTTCAATGAGTCCCCTGGAAATGGAAATCTTTAGAATTATGCCTGTCATAAATCAATAACACTAACTGAAACCACAATCACACATTTCATTTATTTATTTTCACCATAAGCCTTCATATCAAAACATATAAATGTTTTGGTTTAAGGCAAACAAGCTTAAAGTCATATATTTAGAAGTAAATTTCAACTTTAAAGTGATAGTTATTTATGGTATGATTATGAGACATTAATGAGGGCATTATATTAAGACATAAGCAAATAACAGGAAGCAAAAATTTTTTTGGCACTATTTGTCAAAATTGGGAATATAATTGAATGTCTTCTTTCAAAATTGTCTTTTAAAACATCAAATCAGAAAGGCGGAGTTAAAGATGAGAGATAGGAAGACATCTATAAAAATATCCAAGAATACACTATTTGAAATCCAAGGAAAAATAAATGATGTTCAACAATTTAAAAATAAAGTCCTTTTGAGACCAGCAGATGGCATAGCAGTTATGTTGCTGGATCCCAACATGAGCAACCACAGTTTGAATTCTGGACTCTGGAGACTTGAAAATGATGCTGGGCATGTGTGCATGCATGCCCAAGATCCCAGGAGGAGAATGGAGGAGAAAAGATTATGGCATGGCCATCTTCCCTGGGGGGTGATTTTTCACTTTCTCTCTCACTGTGTCTGTCGGTCTTTCTCTCTTTATCTCTGGAAAGTGCACTTACCCTAAGGAAAAAGCTTTTAAAAAGTTTTAAAATAAAAATGAAGTTCTGTTAACTGCTACACTGTTACTATCACCCAGCCCTTGAAATCATCATTAAGGTGGTTATACACTGTGATAATATTTTAAACTCAAAGGTTAAAGTCCATCTGAGAAACAGAACTATTAAAACATCCAAATTTAGAATTGGTTCAGTCTTTCCAGGTGTAATGTTAAATGACAAGACAGGAAATGACTCAAGTAATGGTCAATTTGTATGTATCCATTAGGAAAAAAAAAATCAAAACAAAGTGAAAGAAAAAAACAATCTTGTTAGCTTCTATTAGCTATAATTACTGTCTATATTTATCAAATAACAGGGTAATTCTTTAACCTCTATATTTTGAAGTATACCTTTGTAGACACTGATTTATTGACTTTGGATACATATATTTGCATCAGTTAGTTCTCTGGGAAACAGATGATGAGATAGGATGAAAATCCAATGGGTTTATTAGTGGTGGATGACTGCGAAAGGTAAAATAAGGGCAAATCAGCAAGGTGGGTCAAACAATTCTTCAACTGCAATGCAAATCCAATGTCTGTAAAGGGAAACATGGAAGCAGACTAGGCAGGGAGAAGCTCAGGACACATTGCAGATGCACAAAGTCTGAACTAATCCCACGAACAGCTCCAGAGTGAAGGAGAGCCACGTTAAGAGGAGATGGTATCAGCCCAAACACTGGCTGAGCCTCAGAGGAACGTGTCCTCAGCTTGAAAGATGTGTCTGATCAGAATTTAACAAAAGCTGGAAACTCTCAGCTATTACACTCTTCCATGTTCTTTTGTGAATGAGTATATTCTTTTGTGTAAATTTATCGGAGCTGTACATAATTTCATTGCTCTCACAGTTTACAATTTCCATGACATGAAGCTTCTTTTCTATATAGGTTCATGTCCAAGATTACTGAGGATGTTTGTTCTTGAGAGAAAATGTAAACAACAGAGGTTAGTGGAAACTACAGCTCTCATCACTTAAGATGGATTTAAAATTGATATTGATCATTTTCCTATCCAAACCACATCGACTTGTCAGGGTAGATAACTTGTGGTGTGGTCAAAATCTTTTCAGAGATACTGGATCTCCAAGAGTCACATGTTTCTTTTTCTTTCTTTCTTTCTTCCTTCCTTTTTTTTTTTGAAAAAGAAATTTTTGCTAGAGGTATGCATGTGCTTGCCTGAAAGACAGATAAACACAGAGAGAAAGAAAGCAGCCCCTTCTCCTCCATTCTCCTGCTGGGATTTTAGGCATGCACGCATACTTGCCCGGCGTGTTTTAAGTTGGTGAGTCTGGGACTCGAACTGCAGCCGACTTCATTACGCCATCTGCTGGACCCAGTCACGTTTCTTAAGCAAGGTTATTGCACCTATCATTTCACACTCACAGTAATGAGAGAATAAAAAGAGTCATCAAAGAGGGGTACCAGAGTGTAAAACACAACCCCACACGACCCTATGATGTAACAGTAGCCCTCTCTTTTGCTGCCCGTTGTGGAGAGTTACGGCGTCACATGGCAATTGTTTTGTGTTGTTTTACTGGTTCCTAGCTACAGAGAGTCCACAGGAAATATTTATTTTATATTTGCCACATATTGACTGGTTTTTATTTTTATCATTTCCCACAGATTCAGATTTCCATCTGGTGTCATTTTGGTACTCTCTGAATGACTTCCTTGAAGATTGTTTCGTAATGTAAACTTGCTGATGGTGAATTCTGCCAGCCTTTAGATGTCTAAAAACATCTTTAATTCACCTTTAAACTTTGGAACATATTTTTGCTTAGTACAGAATTCTAGGGTGACAGTTTCCTTCAGAACTTTGGTAGTGTTGCTCTGCTGTCTTCTGGCTTTCGATGTTCATGACCACAAAGCAGCTGTCAGCTGCCATTCTTATCTGCTTTTCCCTCTGTATGCACTGCAACATTTTTTCCATGTTTGCTTTAGTATTCTCTTTAAATCACCAGTTTTAAGCAATTTGGTTATAAATTTTTGTTACAAGGATAAAAATTCATGTTACAGCTTCTTTTCCAATAGATGGCAAATTTGCAGATGTTCTCAAAGCCACAAGGGTACAATACAATACAGTAGAAACTTCTTTTGGAGAAATAGTCACCAAATTTTAGCATAAGTGAATGAGGAAGAGGAAAATGACAGACTTTACCTTTATTGTTAAAGTTACAAAAACTTAATTGAGCAGGAGAGAAATTAAAGACTGATTTTATATACACACATTATATATACATACACACACAATTTTATACATATATATAAATGCAATAAGACACATATATACTTATTTCTATTTTTTATTCTACTTTTGAAGTTGAAAAACTTCAACTTAACATGGTTTAGGCAGGGTCTAGCAGGTAACATAATGATTAAGGTGCTGGATTCCCAGATGGCCAACTGTATCAAGCCCCAGACCCAGTGGCTTGACACTCATGCCAGGCTCATTTATGTGCATACACAAAATCCTAAGGGGAAAATAGAAGAGAAGGGATTGAGGTGTGATCCTTGCCCCTGGTGGGTGATTTCTTACTTTACCTCTCTCTGTATCTATCTGTCTGTCTCTCTCTCTGGTGAGTCCATGCACCCTATGGCAAAAATCTGAAAGAAAAAAAAAAAACAGATTTCGGCATACATGTACATCAGTACAGAGTAATACTTGAGTAACTCCAGGTGTGAGTGCCCCTTAAATTCTGTGATATAGATGTATTGCTCACTTCTCCTTAGTTTTGACCTTGGTTTATAAACAAATTTGAGATGTAAATTTCTGATTGGATGTAAAATGTGGAGTTATGATGTGAAGAAACAGGTGGAACAATGATGTCACTCGCACAAGCAATTTGCACAAGCAGTCACACCAGAAACAATGATACCACAGGATTTCATAAACTCTCCAATTTAAAATCAAACCTGAAGAGATAAAGTGCAGAAAAATCAACCTAGAGTGACTGAGTTTAACTAAAAGTACTTAATGTTGCATTGTATTTTCCCAGATAGAATGGGGTTCAATTATACTAGGTAATAGTCATTGTACTAAAGTATTGAAGTATAAACTACCAATATTTGCATATATGAGATTTGAGATTTAGAAAATGTTATTTTGGAAATAATATTATACATCTTTTTTTATTTTAAATTATTTTGAAAATGAATTCTATTTTTTACTAAAAATTAGAGGATTCTAAGATATCTATTAGGTTTTTAGTAATATTTTTAAAGAAGTAATATTTTATATTTCTGGATCTAATACCAAATAAAATACATACCTAAAATTTTTAAATTTTTAGTGCTTATTATCTTTATGATAAACTTGGAAGTATGTAGGAAATATTCTTTTTAAATAAAACATTCTTAAAAAAATCTATAAAGTGTACCATCAGTGCTATTTAATTTTTTTCAAAGGACATTTTTTTAGTAGTAGTAGTAGTATTATTGGAGACGTTTTTGCTATAGGTCACATGCGCTCACCAGAAAGACAGAGAGATAGAAAGCGAGAACTCAGCCCCCAGTGGGGACAGCCACGCTGCAATACCTTCTCCTCCACTGTCCTCTCGAGATCTTGGGCACGCATGCACATGCACCCAGAGTGAGTTTAAGCCACTGGCTCCAGGACTCAAACTGTGGTCAACTACATGGTAGTTTAGCAACATGGCCATTATGCCAACTACTAGTTTCTACCTTTTATTATTTTACATTCAATCATATATCATTGAAACAATTTATTTTTTGTTATCATGCAATATGCAAATTTTCTCCATATTTCACAATTTTGTGTCATGTCAAGCAGGAAAATGATTATCATTTGATTAGTGTTTTATCCACTATTATGTTAGTCTAAAAATGCCTTAAATATTTTACTCTAAAACATATCTAATATATTATAATTTTCATCAAAAAGAGAGCTTTAGTCAATACTTGCTTAAATCACTGTTCAATTTTTGACTTATTTTAAAACACTTTTTTTTTAAGAATTATTTTATTTAACTTTATTTATTTTAGTTTGACCAGAAAGGGACATAGTGAGAGAGAAAGAGAGAGAGGGAAAGTGAGAATACAAGCCACCAGGGTCCAGGACTTGAAACATGGTAAGCCATGTGGGAGTCCAGCACCCTTAACCACCATGCCACCTGCCAGTCTCTTAAAGTATATTTTCTAGAAAGATAATTTTTGAAGTTTTTATTTTTTTTAATTGCCAGGTGATTCATGCACTCATGAGACAGAGGAAGGGAGAGAGAGTGTGTGTGAGAGAGAGAGAGAGAAATCACCCTTCAAAATGGGGCATGGTCATTCTGTGATAGTTTTTCCTTCATTTCTCCATCCTATCACCATTTTGATCATGTATGCATATCAGTCTGGTTTATTTTTCATGCCACTGAGGCCAGGATTTGAACTGTCATTAGCCATGTGGGATCTGGCTCTCATTACACAGCACTTAATCTCTGTGTTATGAGGCCAGTCCAAGATAATATATCGTTTATAAGAAAATGAAGAATAGGGGCTGGGAAGTGGCATGGTGGTTAAAGGCGCTGGACTCCCACATGGCCAACCACGGTTCAAGTCTCGGACCTGGTGGCTTGCTTTCTCACTTTATCCTTTTCTCTCTGTCTCTCTCTGATCAAACTGGAAAATAAAAATGATAATAATAAATAAAGTTAAATAAATGAATTATTTAAAAAAAAAGAAAATGAAGAATAAAGATTCCTAAACCTGGTAAGTCAAGGGTCTCTTTTCCATTGTAGATTAACTTTATGGCATATGAGTTATTCAATTTACTAGTTAAAACTGGGACTACTTCATTTAGAAAATGTAATATGTTTCACATCTTCAGTTAATAACTGATATCCAACTACCATCACACCATACTTCCTTATTCTTAATGAGAGATTATTCAATATTGAAATTGTAATTGGCAATGAAGAAGTTTCCTGTAGTCTTTAAACCTTGAATGTGTTAGTTACACCATTTTTTACTGGAAATATTAGTATTCACAGCAGAGTTAGATTATTTTCTAGATTAGATTACTTTTGCCTAATCATTTGTTCTGGGGACACTTTGGGGAGGCATATGGTGGTTAGGATAAGGTTACATTATATGAGTAACTATGATTAAAATATTATACAATATTAAATAAAGACTGAATGTTTGCATTCTATAACTTATATGTTAAAATATTCATTCCTGGTGTGATGGTATTAGGATGTGAGACTTTGGGCAGGGTAGAGCCCTTATAAGTAGGATTATTGCCTAGTACCACAGACCAGAGATAGCTCTCTAGCCCTCTTTCTGCCATGTGAGGGTACAAAAAATCAGCAGTCTGCAACTAGGAAGAGGATTCTCACTAGAATCCACCCCTGCTGGCATCTGATATGAAATAACCAGGCTCTAGACTGTAAAAAATAATTTTGTATTGCTTATTAGCCACCGATAATATTTGTTTATAGAAGCTCAAAATAAGACAAATGTCATCTTGTTCTCCACTATTATTTATGATATTTTAAAATATTTTTGATTGTTTCTCATTTTTTTTGCTCAACCTTTAAAAAATAGTATTGAGGGACCAGCAGATGGCATAATGGTTATTTTGCTGGACTCTCATGTGGTCAACTGTAGTTCAAGTCCCAGACTCAGTGGCTTAAAACTCATGCCCAGTGCATGTGCATGCATGCCCAATATCCTGAGAGGAGTATAGAGGATAAGAGATTGTGGTGTGGCCATCCCCTTTGGGTGGTGGGGTGATTTCTCTCTTTCTGTCTCTCTCTCTCTCTCTCTGGTGAGTACACATGCCCTATGGTGAAAATCTCTTTTAATCAAGTAGTAGTGGATAATCACTGAATTTTCCCTACCTCTAATGTTGAGAAATTAGGCAAAGGAATGTGTATGCCTGGTGCCAGTTTTGGTCGTACGGCTTTGCAATGGCTATTGTATATTTTAAGAACAGTGAGATCT